AGTATTTTAGTTTCACCTTTGGAAACAAACATTTTTCTAGGCATGAATATAGTGAAGAAGCCACTAGTTCAGTTCACTTGTCTTGTAAAAGATGCTGTTGTTTCTGCATGTTACGTTTTTCCATTTGAATGATTAATTTTATAGATCCCTTGAAAATTGTCTGTGGAACTTTGTAGTTGTTAGAATGTGTGCTGGCAAATACTCACTGATACACTTTTTTCAACTTAACTGGACTTGTCCTAATTAGCTTCGCATCCAGTCTGGAATTAATAATAATACTTGGATTTGTCTGGAGTTGAATTGGATTGAATTCTTCCCAGAAATCAAACCACTGCGATCATTGACTCAAAACTTGCAAGGAGATCTACAGTTTCGTTGCTAAATTGTATAAATGAATGTACAGAGTCAGAATCTTTCACGGGAACTTCGTGAAATACTGTTCATGCCATCACTCATACAGAGTAATGTGCTCTGTGGCCTTGTGGCCTTGGTTTGCTTGGGCTGAGCAGTCGTTGGAAGGAGGAAGACAAGCTGCTGTCCTCATTGTCTCTGCCTTCGTCACTGCATTGGGAGCTGGTGAGCTCAGCACTGAGGGTGACCTCCTGTTGTCTTCAGGCACTTTTTACTTCACAGCTTCCAGAAGGGACTGCGATTACTGAGAGCAGCATAGCACTTAGGCACTGTCTGCAGGGACCTGACATTAGACCGTTCGTGATGAAAGCCTTCACTTAAAAGAGAGCTTTTCCTGAGAAAAAATAGTTTTAGACTTAAATTTATAGTACAGATTTGAAACTGCAGATACTTTTGTCTGAAGGAAAATCTTACTAAAAGTCAGCACCTACCTAAGTCCTCCCCAAATTGTCTCATTTTCAGTTCTACATTTTTAAAACCTCTTAGGATTTAATAACTGGTCAAAAGGTGTTTTATACATTGTTTAAAGTATATCTCTGTTTGTACTCTTATCCAGTTCTGTAAAAGCAAATGGTTTTATGCTTAAGATTTCCAGTTGTAGAGCTGATGTTATATTATGAACTTAGAGTGATTTTAAAATTTGCCCTACTACATGTCATTAATATGCAAAACCCCCTAAAATGTTTTTCATTTAGATTAAATTGAAGTTCTAGATTTAAAGATGAAATCATTAAGATGATGGTGTAGTCACAGAAATTTTGCACATACCTTATATGTTAAAATTCTAAATTATATTGCTATCCAACTATATCTTTGCTTTTTGTAATACAGTTGGAAAAAATAGGTACTTTATAAATACTCTACTGATTAAGGAAATAAAATTACTAGAAAGTTAGAAATAGGTGCTATATCTAAAGGAGTTCTGTAAAAATTTATAAGTTTAGGATTTTTAAGAAATTATAAGTCTGTGGAGTTATAAATGGAGTGGTTTCTAGTCAAAGATATGAAACATTGGGGATTATTTCTTTTAATTTGGTATGTTTTTAAAGTGTCATATCTCATGGAATGCTTTGGTTGTAACTGGATGACTGCATTTGCAAAATAATGTTTCTTAAACTTGAGTAAAAAGTGTAAAAGATCAAGTGCCCAGTATCTCTGTTTGTATGCATAGTTGCTCTATAAATACTTATCCTTAGCTTAATTAAGAAACTTTATTCTTGGGGTTTATTGAAATATGAAAATATAATAAAAGTTCCGTAAGTTAAATGAGCTAAAAACAATTCTAAACTATTTACTTCTCTTACTGCCTTTATACAGAGGTTCCCCCAAAGGTTTTTTTCTATATAAACTAGAAATTATATAGGCTATTTGTACTTAATTACAGCGTGATTATTTTGTCCATTATCTTAGAAGACTAACGTTAGGACAAGACTTACCTCTTTCTGTTTTTTATAGATGTACTTGACCCAAATTTTATTTTACCTAAAGAATATTTTTACTAATAGTTTCGTATATGGTGTTAAGTGGGTTATTTTTCAGAGAAATGAGTGTTTACAAAAGAAAGATATTCTCCCATGTTCTTTGATATTTTAAAGAAAAAAAGTCTTAAATTCTTTGTTTTGTTTCTATTTATCTATCATCTATCTATGTCTGTCTGTCTGTCTATCTGTCTGTCTATCTGTCTATCTTTATTGTTGAAAGTATTACAGATGTCCACCTTTTCCCTCCTATTCTTCCTCTCCACCCCACCATCTGCCCTACCTCCCAGGCCTTCCGCATACTGTAGTCTGTTTCCATGGGTTATGTATATATGCATATAAGTTCTTTGATTAAAAAGTCTTGAATTCTGCCTTTAACTACTTTTCTTTAAAGTTTGGAATAAATTTTAATAATCTCTCTACTCTCACTATTGATATTTATTTACACTATCTTAAGATATACTTAAGTAAATGAAATTTTATTTTTATAGTGTTTAATCGTAATTAAATTATATAGAGATCTTCAAAACTCTTTAACATTTAACATAATATTGAAAGAAGCAATTTAAATTGGATTTGTTTCATTTGCCATTGTAGAAATCAGTTGGCAGTATTAGTAACATCATTATTATATGAATGTATGCTAATGTGGTATGAAAGAGAGATCCTCATTAAAATTGTGTTCCTAAACAAATGACAAAAACCCTACAAACAGCTTGAGGCTTTAGGCCAGTCACAGTTATTCCTGAAGAGATTTGGACAAGTGTGAAAATAGACTGTGCCTTTATTGTGATCAGAACACATAAATGCTGTCTCACATCAGTTCCCTACTAAGGGCATTTCTATTTATATTAGAGAAGGAAATCTTAAAACAGTGCAGTGCCTAAACATTCTAGTGTGCATTTCTCAGTGTAAAAATAAAGGATTTGTTAAATTCAGAAAGTGCACTTTTGATAATAGCCATTGTGTTTGTGTTGTCCAGAAAAGGACTGGGGTTTGGTCAACTAGAATATTTCATTAGGCAAATTCTTTCTTCTAGACATTAACTGAGGAACTGGTCTGGAGTAGGTCTGTGAGGTTCCAGGAAGGGGAAGGTGGTGCAGGGGATCAACCCACATGGTTCCTCACCACTGTGTCATAGCAGTTCCCTCCGAGAAGCCCTTCACCAGATTTAGTCACTTCTGGGTTAACTCAATGTACATGTTCCCTGTGAGTATTGCTCATATCTTAATTTTTATTTGGGATCATAATTCTTGTTTCTAGAAAGGTAGATTTTAATATGCTACAAATAGAAAAATTAACCTATAGGAATGCTAATGACATTCCAGAGTAAAAGTTTTTGACAGCCATGATCTCTACTGATAATGAGCTGATTGTAAGTCTGCTTTGCCTTTTGAGTTGTAGGAAGTCCTTAGTCAAAGGGCACAAAAGATATTCCCCTTGGTCTGATTTGGCCTGTGTGTCCAGCTCATCTGCACAGAGAGGAATGAGAACATTGGTAGTTGGAACAAAATGGACACTTGAGTAGGTTCAGGAATCAGAGAGCAATTGGTGGGACTGCTGAGACTAGTGAACAAGAAGCTAAAGGAAGCTAATCCTGTGTATGTTTGAAGGTGGAGTATTACATGTCACCCATAATTTAATGATCAGACGCACTGCATTATTTGCATTAAAGTTATTTCTTGCATCTGTTGTCTTTGTTCCTATTCTATCACTTATCCTTCAAAGTGGTCTATGATGCTGCAGGTAGATACTGATATCTATGCTGAAAGGCTCTCGTCCCAGCAAAGTCCCTCTAATGAGTTATTATACATTTAACAAATCTCAATCATTTCCAGTTTGCTTGTGGTTTAAAAATATTTTTGTGACATAGTATGTCTTCATGGAGACTCCTGAAATTACCTGCTTGCTTTAAAATAATTATAAATTATATTCCTTAGTAACTGGAAACGTAACACATAGCTCAAGAAAGGAAATCTTGATAACTTTGTATTAAAGAGTTACACAAGATATTCAGAACAAGTTGTGTGTTTTTTTTGCCTACTGCTTTTTTTTGAGGATGATATAATTTATAATTTATTTTAAAAAAAATATATATCTTTATTGATTTCAGAGAGAGGAAAGGAGAGAGAGAGAGAGACAGAAACATCGATGAGAGAGTCATTGATTGGCTGCCTCCTGCATGCCCTCGACTGGGGATCAAGCCCGAAACCCGGGCATGTGCCCTGACCGGGAATTGAACCCCTAGCGCCTGGATCCTAGGTCGATGCTCAACCACTGAGCCACGCCCGGCTGGGCAGGATGATACAATTTAAGGTCTGACCATGGAAGTGGTAGGCTATTTATTACAGATTGGAGGTGGCAGAGCCTGGAAACAGAGTGGCCAGTGGTGAGGAGGAAGGACCAGAATAGTTCAGGAGAGTAGCTGTAGAAGGCAGGGAGCAAAGGCCACACTGTCCCGTGGAAAGGGGGAGAAGGGAGAACCAAGTCTGACCCTGAACACACGTAAGACAGATGAGCATTATGGCACCAGGCCTTCGTGGTTGGGCCTGAGAAAGCAGGATAGCAAAGGGCCAGTATGGTTTAAACGGCAAACTACCAGAATGAATTTGACAGAAAGCCGTTTGAATTCTCAGGGACATCTAAGAGTGGACTCAAGAATGGGTTGGGAGCCCTGCTATCAGAAGTTAAGACACCAAGGCGAGTTTGTCTTAAAGAACAGGGGAGCCTTGATGCCATCGGAAGACATCCAGAGACCAGACACCAGATGCCCATGCCTGGAAACAGCTCTTTTATACTCATTCCTTCTAGAATATTCTTTTTCTCTGTTAGAAATCCTACTTATTGTCTACATCCCATCTGCCTCCATGCAGTCTCCTCACTCTACCTCAGAGGTCCTCTCTCCCTCCTTTCAAGTCTCAGTCTTTATTTCCGTAGAGTAAATGTCACCTGCCTCATGCTACCTTTCATTCCTGTACGTGCCTTTGGTGGAGCATGTGCTGTGTACCAAGCAGTGTAGGTAATAGATGCTAAGTTATGTTTTAGAGCTGTCAGAAATTGTGTTGATGCAATTGCAAGCCATTTTTTTTCTTTCCAAATTTTTAATTTCAGATTTTACCAACTGTTGCAAGGAGTCTGGAATCCTTATGGTAGTAAAGTGCCGGAAAGAAAATTCTGCATTAAAAGAATGTCTGACTGCTTAGTAAGTGGTAACCTCAGTGTTTGTGCTTCTGTATGTATGTGTATGGAGTGTATGTAGTAGGTAAGAGTATGTTACTTTACTCAGTGCAATATATTCTATACTTTCCCCCCACCAAATCCATCATATTTTTAGCCGAGTCTAAAATTTCAGTTTGTTAAAGATTATTCTTTAAAAAGCAGCATGTTTATAAGTGTCTCTTTAAATTATGTGGGTCAGCATTGTATCTGATTAAATATATGAGGTTTTTAAACAAAAACATGATTTTTCATGTGATTTAACCAGTTTCTTTTCAAGAACAGGTTGATCTATAGAATATATTATAGATGGGTTTATAGGTAAGAAAGAGCATTTTTTCATCTCTGAATAAGAAAGGGCTCTACTTTATTTACTATTGACATTCCATAAAATGAATGTAGCCACTATGCTTTGCCATCTCTTCACAGTGACTCCTTGAAGCATTGTTTGCACTCTTGTTTCTGCCTGTCTCGATCCCATTCATTCAGTAAACTGCACTCTGACTTCTGTCCTCACCCCACTGAAACTGCTCTTCCTTCGGCCTCTAGTGGATTCATGGGAGCCACATTGAATCTCTTTTCAGTCCTTGTTTTCACTTGACCTCTCTGGAAATCTCATAAAATTCCCTTCTGTTTGGCTTCCCTCATGCTGCTCTTTCCTGTTCCCTAATGTCCGTATCTACTTCTTTGCCTTTCCCCCCAACCTGTGACTTACATTTGGTTCCCTCATTCTCTCCTCATTCCTAAGTCTGAGAAAGCTCAGCTGGCACCCATGGATTCCATCACTACCTGTAGGTCATGGCATTTCTCTGCTGCTTTCTTCAGGTACACAACTGAACTCAGCTCTTTTTACCTGTGCATTGTGTGTCTCTGTTAATTATACAGCCGTCTAGTTTTGTTCTTGCCTCCTAACTCTCAAGTGGTCATGGCCTATTGGTTTCACTTCCTCAGTCCCCCTGGATCCGTTACGGTCCTTTTCATCACAGCTGCTCCTCCATGGCCTAGGCCCTCAGCATTTCCTGTCTGGGTTATTATAATAGTTTATTTATTGGATATCCTGCCTCTAACTTTGCTGCCCCCTTTAGCCTATCTACCGCATGCTGTCAGATTCACCTATGACACAGAGCTGCTCTTACAGTTGCTCTCCTGATAGTGCCCCATCGTCTTCGGGATAGATTTTAACTTACTGTGGCATAAATGGACCGTCATGATTTAGTTCTTGCCCTTTCTAGCTACATCTCAGGACCTTTTTCCTATGTGCATAATCTGCCATAGGGCTCCAGCTTCTTACAGTTCTTTATGCATCACAGTTTTCCCTCATCTCTGTGCCTTTGCACATGTGGTCCTTCAAAGTGCAGCTCAAGCATTTCCCCTTGATATCTCCCCTTCCCACTTCTTCCATGTTTCCATGGTGCACTGAGCCATACCTCTACCATACTACTTTGTGTTCTTAATTATAATTAATTCTTTACTTGTCTGCTCTGTAACACCATGGGCTCCTAGAGGATGGGCACTGTGCTGCTCATTGCTGTATCCTGGTATAGTGCTGTTTAAAAACCTATTAGATCTTTTTATTTTTTTCCTTTCTTTGACTAGTTAGGTAGCCTAATGTTTACAGTGAATTTGTAGCCATTACTAAAAATCTCCTTTTAAAAAACTTTAAAAAAAATTTCATTTGCAATTGACATTCAGTATTATTTTAGTTTCAGTTGTTAAAATCTACTTCTAAAGATTGTGCTGGATGGACTGGATTCCCAATGTTATTAAAGTAAGCTTATATTAAATACTTACAAAACGATTCACCTTAAAAGATTTTCATTTCTTTCTTGTAGCTATACTGATCCTGCCTTTTATGAAGAATGCAAAATGGAATACCTGAAGGAAAGAGAAGAATTCAGAAAAACTGGAATTCCTACCAAGAGAAGACTACAGAAGCTTCCAACAAGCATGTAGGCAAATATTCAAATGATACTTAGTAACACTATTCATGGAATCACAGTTACCTAAAATAATGGACTCAAGGAAGTGTGTTTGCTTTGTCCTAAATTATGGAAATATTGATTTTATCTGAAATAAAATTTTTTTTAAAAAATGTTAAAGTTAAGTTTATTAAATGGGATAGGAGTAAATGGTGAACAGGATGTGGTTTTCCTAGTCATTATGGATTTTTCAAAAAATTTTCCACAGCTGTAGTTCTGTAACAGTGATGCTGAATTTTAGGGTTCCATATAGTTCTTACCTTACTCTATCAATGTAGATTAATAGCTAATCATGGGGGTCAGAAGTAACTAAAGGAAAGCAGGGATGGACCACCTTCAGAGGTGTTAGTACCAGGCAGTGTAGCAGAATGACTATGAACCACAATCTTTGGTTCTCCACTTATTAGCTATACAACTGGAAATAAGTCTCATAGAGCTATTGTGAGGATTGAGTAGTGTAAGTAAGTAGAGTACGTAGGGCAGTGCATTGGACATGATAAGTGCTCTTTAATGGTTAGTTACTGTTATTCTTACTACTAAAGGCTTATTTGGAAATATAGATGGTAGAAAAGTACTTAAAAATGAATTAATTTTAAACATCTTTGACAAAAAACTTCCTAAATATATCACTAGATTCCTTGACCTGTTAATTTGGCTATTGAACATACTTCAATTTTTAAAAAAAAGTCTTCTTTGTAAACATAAATGACCATTTTGTAACAGTATTTGTTTCAGGAACTAATGTAAAAGTTTTCTGTCTCAGTGCAGTAATATGGTTCCAGGTTGAGCTTTTATATTAAAAGTTGCGCTTTTTTTCTCCATGAACTATTATTAACTCTTTACCACAGCCATTGAAACCAGTTTCCAGGTAAGTAAATTTTATATGTTTATAGTTCTCATTAAAATCCCAAATAGAAATGACTACCTACAAGAACAGGATTTAACTTTGTCCCCAATCCCATTGAAATAGATCTGACTTTTTAAAAGGACTTAAAGCAAATAGCAAAGGGGACCCTAAAGAACCAGTAGTTCAAAGAACTATTTTACTCTTATTTAAAACCCACAGAAACCACATTTTCCCAAGCCAGAGATCAAAAGGAGGGAGACTACTAGAGCAGATAGACAAAAGCAAAGCAAATGTAGAAACCTAGAGGTCACAGAGCATAGGGGTGAACAAGCCTATATTCCTCTTGGCCTTTTGGTATTGGTGTATTTCTTATAGCACAGGACCTTAATTTTTGTTTTTCATTATTCAAAGGCAAAACATTTATTTTAAAAAGCTAGTGAAATATATAATCTGTGGCTTTTTTATAATTTTGATTAGAATCAGAGGGGCCAACTTCAATTTTTGTGGAAAAATCACTTATATAGACATCACTTTCCCCATAGGTCCTAGATATATGTAGTATAAGTAAGTTCATCCTTTATTGTCAAAAACTAAACCATTCATCAGAGCTTTTAGAATATCCATGCCTATGCACACTCAAGTCAGCTTTCCCAGCTGATAATTCTGCCTGTTGTCTTGCTTGCTCATTCGTTCCTTTGCTGGTATTTCGTTCAGTGACCTTCCAGATTTTCTACCCTGTAAGATCTGCATTCCCCAGATAGTCTTTCCGGATAAGATCATTACTTTGTTTTCATGTTTCAGCCCTTTAGTTTTTTGGTTTTTTTAACTATATCTTTATTGATTTCAGAGAGAGGAGAGGGAGAGATAGAAACACCAATGATGAGAGAGTCATTGATCGAGCCTGCAACCGGGGCATGTGCCCTGACCGGGAATTGAACCTGGATAGCCTGGATCCCAGGTCAACACTCAACCACTTAGCCACACCCGGCCTGGCAGTCCTTTAGTTCTTTAAGTCTGAATTTCCCCCTATTTGGTTTTCTAATGTTTCCCGTGGGTGTGCTATGCTTATGAATTAGGTTCCATTTTAACAGAACCTCAGTTTCCTTTGAGAGATGTAAATTTTGTTTTAGCCAATTGGGGATCAAGAGGAAGCAGTAAGTGGCTTTTTTTAGCTGTGTTCTCTTCCTTGTTATGGATCTGCAGAATTGGGATACTGTTTTGATGGGCCATTCTCTCATTTCTCTGAATCTTATCTACAACAGAGATGATCATAAAGTGTACATTTAAAAATTTGTAACTGGGTACAAATACTTTTTGGTTAATCTTTCTTACGTAATCTTACACATCATTTATTTAGCATTTTAAACTGCCAAGAACATTAGCATATCTGTTTGATAGCTACCCTTTCATTTAGATGAAAAAGCATTTTCTCTAAGCAAAAGAATTTAATTTAACAAGACAAGTGTCTGCTATATGAATTAAATTAACAACTCAGAATTAGTATCTGACCTTGGAATATATAGTCAAGGACAAAATTTCACCTCCACTTCAATTTCAAACAAAAATAATTTTAATTACATAATTTCTTTGCATTGTTCAAAACATTAATCAAGCCATTATCTCATACTTTTCTTTACATAGTAAAATTTCCAACCTTGGTTTTAAAAAAGGCAAACCAGTCAGCTACATTAGAGATTAGATGTAATATACAGCCAATGTAGCCACATGAGAAATAGTTTCTGCTGCTTTGATGTTACACAGGTAGTTGCTTCCTTCAGCTAAAGCCTGGAGTCTTATATTTGTCTTATGCATATTGGGTTTTGTTGTTACTTGGCAGGAGATTCTACTCCCTTGAGTCAGCTGTGTTCATTGGTCAGAATAAATTCTAGCATCTGACACCAATTCCATTAATCACAGACAAGCTTGAGTAAGTGAGTAAGATAATAGAAAGACAAAAATATCTGGTGAACGGTGAACATAGTTTATGTATGTATGCTATTCAGTTAATATAGAAGAGATTTGAGATTTTTTTATTTAATGTAAGATGGATATTTGAAACTGTCTATTAAAAAGGTTAAAGGTTTCCTACATGAAACACTTTATCTTAGGTAAAGGATATATGAATCAAGTAATACATTTTATTACTAATATTAATACTGCAGCCCATTTGAAGTCATCCTTGTTATTTCCTTACTTGTTTATAAATGATAGGCCACTTAGAATCAAAGAGTTTTGGGGATATTTTATGATTTTACTGTAACAGTACGGCACAGAATTGGTTTTTAGAATTAAAATTCCTAACTCAGTTAATTAAATATCACTCAATGAGTAAAACATTATTTCAAACCAAGTCTAACAATTTATAAGCTGCTCTACATAACCAGTGGGTATAGACCCTTTAAAGAAAATGACTTTATAGTTACACATTTAGACTTTCATTATGGACCCTGAAAGACAGATTAGACTGAAGCCTTTGTGGTGCTCTACTTCGAACTGGTTGATGTATAGGATTATAATAGTTTATTCACACACCACATAGATTTTCAGCTATTTCATCACCTTTCAATTAGCACTTGAGGGATATACTAGGACAAAGTTGGCTTCAATCATCAGGTTACTTCAAGTCTTCAAAGTGAAATTCTGAATTTTATCAAAAACGTGATTAAAAATGATTTTAAACTCTGAAACACAATAGCATATAGAGATGGAAAAACCTACATGCTATTATTCCACTATTTATATTTTTCATATCTTTATGCACTAGAAGGTCAACAGAAATACAACGTATTCACACTGCCATTTGCTCCTTTATGCAACTTAAAGCAACTTATATGACTTCTCTCTTATATGAACGGCCTCCTTTATTTTTAATGAAAAGCTCTTTATGCATTTCACATGCTTTGTAAAATCACGTCTAAAAACTTCCAATTCCATTCTTTATGTGAGAGGCAGAAATTTACAGTCACTATCAAAGATAGAATTGTCTTTTTGAAACACAAGTTTATTAATTTATTAGTAGCATATATCTTATTCTTAGCCAGAATATGAAGCTGGAGGGTTGCTCTTTCGTACTGGAAAATCAACTACATAATATGGTACAGTATGTGCAAATGTGTACATTGAAGAACTCCGCAAAGGTTTAATCAAAACCTGCTTTCAGTTTATTAAATAATTTCTCAAGAGAACCATTGCGGGAGGTACAGCAACCTCATGACCAAATCATGAGTCTCTTCAGAATTAATTCTTATAAAGGCAGTTTTGATTATGTTGATCCAAGCAATGCTGTGGTGGCAGGTTGGCTAAAGGCAAAGTTTTATTTTTAGTTTCCCCAAATGCTGTGTCACTTGATTTAGGAGGGCTTGGGAATACCCAAGAATTATCTTCCAGAGAATTTCTGCCATAAGAGTTGGGTTCCTGAAAGTTTGTACAGTCATGAGGAATTGGTCTCTCGTTATTTGTCCATGATTGGAGAATTGCTTTCTCTGATAAAATCTTTACATCTCCTGGTAGAGGGGAAGATGTGGTATGACAGAGAGCTTTGCCATTTGGTGAAAGAGAAGGGTGTCTTTTGTATGTTGCAGTGAAATTCGCCAAGTGCAGGTTTGTGCTGTCTTTTCCAAGGTCTTCCATGTATCCGACAGGGGTGCAGGCTAAAAAAGAAAGCACAGGCCAATTGTCAGTTGTCATGGCATTTGTGATCATAAAATATGTAACACTTCATTAATTTGGTTGAATTGATAACTGGAAATAAAATTAATGTTCTCAAGTTTTAATGTAGTCATTGGGCACTGTGACTTGAAGATAGATGACAAACAATCTGAGTTCTAATCCTGGATCCACTACATTGACATTTGGACTTTACTTAAGTCACTACACTGCTCCAGGTATCACTTTTCTCATTTGCAAAATAGACACACCATAATAATCCTGTCCCACTGGCATCGAGCTATTAAAGATGAAGAATTTAAAATTTTAAGAAGTTGGAAACCAATGAAGTTAAAATACAAGTAAAGATCATGTTCTGGGCTTTTAGTGTGACTAGAGAAGGCTTACAGACTATTCACTTCAGTGGATACTAAGAAAGCTGTTCTTAAGTTTTAGTAATTTTTTTTGTTAAATATTATATTCCTTTGCTATTCATATCTTTTTTCCATAGGTGGTCCAAAAGTAAATTTTTTCAGAAAGAATTATATTGTGAATTGGTGAGACTCAAATAGTATATATTCAGGCTTTTATGAATAAAACAGTTTAAATAAAAGCTACAAAATAATCCTATTTCTTGTGAAACACGTATCATGGTAAATGTAAATTCTGCTATGGTCACAGTATAGGTAGAGTAAAAAAAAACACAAAAAATTAAAAAACAACAAAAAAAGTTCTTCAGTACACATGCGGTGGTTTAGGAAACAGCCTGCTTTAAAGCCATTATTTAGTCACAGCAGGCACAATGGCAGGATGAGCTTTTGCTCCCCCTACGCCCCTTCTAGGTATCAGCCTGGGCAGAAAGATAAATTTATGCTAAGTCCATAAAAGATGCCAACTGAGGCTTGACTCTGGTTTTAGAAGAAAAGCAATTGAACCACATTATAAAATAAGCTCACTGTCTATTTCTTGGGAGATTGGAAGTAACATTGTTCAGCTTTGGGCAGGGTGATATTGTAGGTGAAGAAACAAGGTAATCTAGCCTCATCTCTCTGCTCCTCAGAGCATTCTGTTTTATGGTGAGGAATGGTGGCCTTGAGCCTGCTACTGTCATAGGAAATGTGCTAGAAAATATGGTTCAAATTGAAGCACTAAAAACTTATCACTCACCAGCTCAGAAAGGAACACAAGAACGAACCATTTCTAAATATGGAAAGAGCATTCCTTTATTATTATTTGGAAGTTACATTTATTATATAAACAGAACCACACTGAAAACTCACTGCAAAATGACTGTATGAGTCCCTTTTGAGAGTCTTATTTCTGCCATCAACTTACATTGCCTTATATATAACCATGGTCACTGGAAAACTCAAGGACAAAAGGAACCAAATTAAGTGAGGGCCTGCCAAAGCACCGAGTTATTTTGTCTGATGAAAAAGTAACTAACTAGAAAATGAAACAGATCCGGAATCTAGTTTTCCTTCCCAGGGTGCAACACTGTCCTCCACTAGTGTACACTCCTGAGGAGAGCTGTTTGTAACATATGATTCTTTTATGCACTCTTTAGGGACAATCTGAGTTACAAAGAACAATTTTAAACTGGATGGTGATTATATTTTATAAAAAGTCGTATCTCATTACTTTAAAAAGTAAATTTTAGGGCATTCAAATTTATCTCACACAGCTTTTCAGAAATACAACTATTACGTAATAAAAGGTATAAATGCACTGATTTTTCTTTGAGGTATAAAAATAGCTTTGGCAAAGTAACCACTACTAGTTAACACAAAACTCAGAAAGTTTGATCAACCAAGCAGTTAAATATGACAGGCAAAGCAATGAAAATTTTTGTTTGCCTGAAAGGGATAAGCACCTAGGCTCTCTTCTAAGTAACCTAACCTTTATGGAAAGAAAAAACTTTACAAAAAATGAAAACAGCCAAATAATGAATCAAAGTTACTTTTTTTAAAACAAACAATTCAAAGAGCTAGGTCTCTGGTGTTCTCTGTAATGAAAAATAGCTTTGGGTGTCTTGTTGTCTTTTTTTTCTCTTCTTTTTTCAAATATATGTAGTTGTGGTAAAAGGTCAACTAGAGCAAACTTAACACCTCAGCCTTACACACATAAGCAACACTTGGCTGAGAAAAAAAAGCCACAAGGGGAAAAGAATACAGTACTGAAGAAAAAACACATCAGCAACACCTTTATGTGTGAAGGTGACCAGTATGAGACTGAAGCCAGAGCAGAGAATGGGTAGCCTGTGAACATACTATATATACTCTGGCTTATCAAATTCATTTGATGAGATTCTGATAAGATATGATAGCTAGTTGCTCTTCAAGGGTTTGGCTGGAATCAGTGGTTTCCGGCAAACATTGACTTGCCTTTCTTGATTGCAGCTGGGGTTTTCAATTTTCTTAGTAATTCAGCTTGTACTTGAGTCACCAGATGCAAATTAGACATTTCTCTCTTTAGCTCCCAGTATGCATTTTGTATATCATCACTGAAATACAGAATTTAAAACAAAAGTTAATGGTCATTCATCCTTTATGAACAAAAGAGAGTAACTTTAAAGTAGAAAGGATCATTTCTACATTTCTGCTTGAATTAGTTTTGAGATGATGTAAATTAAAACTTCTTCATTAAGTAATTGAAAGACATTTAATTTGGGCACTATAAGAAGTGGAAAGGCCTTATTCACAATAGTAACATTGACCTAATTTCTAGCAATTAACTGAACTATATTAAACAGAAGGGTTTTATAAAAAGTATTCTAACCATTGAGTTTCTTACAGTTCTTGTCTCAGAATTGAGATTTTATCATGACTATAGTGCAGTGGTGTTAAAACATTTAATAGTAAGGAGTATGTTCTTCATTTGCACTGCTGGTCCAGACTAAAGTGATATTCATGTATGGGCTTTAAATTTGTATTTATTTTATGATTATTCTGTTTGGACATTGTGAATTGAAATGCTCGTATCAACTGCTGCATGTATACCCAAGCTCCATTAAAATAAAATTTAGGTTTCATGTATTCTATTCTTTTCTGTTTGACTGGGCTGTCTCATACTGTTCATACTAAACCAATGTGACATGACAGCACAAGACATGAAGAGCCAGATGATTTCCTGGTACAGGAAAAGCAGCTAGAGAGAGGATCATATGAAACAGAAGAAAGAACTTCACAAATGCCTCTCATTTTTATGATTAAAAGTATTTTACCTCAATTATCTGAGGAATTATGTTAATTATTTTACATCTAATTTTTTATACGTTTCAACTTCCATTAAACATTCCTATTTGGATATTTATGATTTTCTTCCTTTCTCGGTTCTTAATTAACTAAATAAATCAAAATCTTCAGCATATATTCTTACTTTGCTGTACTAGAATACATAAAATATTAGATGTAAGAACAACTGGTACATAGTGTTCAAACGACCATTAATGACTCGTAAAGGTTAGTGTAATTTTAGTAACAATGAAGTAAAATTTGACAGACATGCTACTTCATGCTTTAACTTTTGTCTAAGTAAAAACCTTTTTATAACAAACTTCAAGGAATAATACTCTTGAAACTTAAATCTAATATCCTATTTTAATTACAAAAGCAACAGATACATTAAGAAACAGGATTATTTTGAATTATGTAAGGTTACATAGATTTTTCTCAAAATATCCCATTCCACTCAGATGATGCTTTCAATAGAAGCAGCAGAATAAACTTTATACTGCCTCTGAGAGAAATCTACAGGTCTTAGTCTGATGTAAGCATGACTTGTTAACCAGCAGTCTATTAAAAATCACAGGGCTTTCTGCAGGTTTTTGATAGGTGTGAAATAATTACTTCACAAAAGTTAGGTAAACACCTCTGCTTCATCAGTAAACATCTGAGATGGGTGCTACACTGACTGTTTCACGTAGGAACCTGTCTTCAGTGTGAAGAGCTGTTGGTCCTTGGTGCAATCCTGGGCATTCAGTGTGCTTTCCAGAATTACTCATACTACATAGCAGTCAGTATATACACTGTATGTGTGCTAATAATTTATGCAGTCATAATATGAATAATACTGCTTAAAATAGTGTTTTACTATACGCATGAGATGGTAAATCAGTACCTGACTTGGGGGGGGGGGAGCAAATACCCAAGATAGTGTTTGGATACCGAAATATCAAACATTTAATCATTCAAAATAGCTAAGCATGTAAAATAATTTTCATGAGGTGTTTAAAGCAATGTCTAACACACATTTTCCAACTCAATTTAATGAAGACTGCTTATAAATTAGGTTGAACAACTACATCACAAAGTTTAACATCTAGTCTTTTTCTTTGCCCTAAATGCCACCTGAATTGAAAACTACAGATATAAATATCTGAAATTATTACCAAGTATAAGCTCTCCCTCTTGTGGATAGCAAAGTAATGGCAGTTACTTTACTACTAATATTAAAGTGCTAGTCTTCAAGATGTGTTACACATTTATTTTTAGTTCTATCTGTTTAAATCATTACTGAAGTGAGATTGGAAAAGGAAAGTTGTCACCCACAAATCTTTAGCAGAGTTCCAACTAATCTTCACTTATCAAGGCATCTTTGAGATTTATAAAACTCCTTGAACACTGAGATGCAATAGTAAAGCACCCAAAATGAGAACCCTAAAAACAATAGATGAAAGAAACAAAATGTTTGAGCATTTATTATGTGCGAGGCACTTCACCCACATTCTCATACCAACTTGGAAAACTGGGTAACCTAACTTTACTTGAGGAAATGGGTCCGGGCGAATTTATTTCACTCTAACATGCTCTGTCCAAAGCGATCTTTTAGTTATCCAGATGTTATATGCAATGAGTACCAGTAATTAAAAGGTTAACTCTGTGTTAAAGAAACAATACAGTACCTCATCTGCCTGGCAATATGATAAAATACAAAAAAAAGTAGTGTTCCAAAACGGGAGTTTTCCAGGTAACAGAAAAAATCTAAACTTTTAGTTAACGGCTTTATGGAAACTGTCCTATGTACGTTCCCCCAAATACAGTGAATTTATCACCTGAACGGTTCCACTTAAAAGTGGATGAGGTAACTTACAAAGATTAATAAAACACAGGGAAATAAACTAGAAATAGGCGTAAATGAGAAGGTGAAGGAAAAGCAAGGTAATACGCAGTAAGGAATGAGGCTAACATAAAAATGCATGGTATAAAGTTTACCAAGGGTAAGTCACAAACTTTTCAGAAGAGGAAAACCTAATCAGTTTTGCAATCCGTATTGCTTACATAAGGTAAGTGCAAACCAATCTGCAAAAACCCCACAAAAGTACTTGAGTACTAATAAGCTAGATAACTTTGACAAGGAAGATAACTTTGAGAAATTAATTTAAATGGACACTGTACTGGACACATTATTAAAAATAAAAAGGGAAAAACTTCTTTGCTGTAATTTTAGAAGTTCAAAGCGTAAACAAAGTACTGTTAGAGTGGAAGGCAGTTTGAAGATAACTTTGAGAAATTAATTTAAATGGACACTGTACTGGACACATTATTAAAAATAAAAAGGGAAAAACTTCTTTGCTGTAATTTTAGAAGTTCAAAGCGTAAACAAAGTACTGTTAGAGTGGAAGGCAGTTTGCAACAGAGACCGTATGGCCCACAGAACCTAAAATATTCACCACTTGCCCTTTATTGAAAAAGTCTGCCTACCCCTGAATCTAGAAGAGTGGCTGCATAGTGTTTCTTTTAACTGTTTTCCCTAACTGACCATTTCTCTCAGGTTTTGATAGGAAAAGGTATGAATTCACATTATTTACTTTACTTTAGGTCAGTAAACTTTGGAAGCCAAATGATCAAACAATGAAGTCAAACCAGTATTTTCCATTGGATGGAAGTATCCATGCAGAGAGGGGATGCTAACATAGCGGACACGAAAATTATCAGGTAATTTAAAACACAGTACCTACGTTACTTAAGTAAAAATGATACATATTTGAGGAAAAAGGTTTCAAGTAGCATACATGAGCTCTGATAGCTACTTCTTTTCTTATCCCAGGAGGATAATTCTCTTAAAATTCATGTCATACCAAAGACTAAGGCTGTCCAAGTTTGTGATATTACTGTATAAGGAAATGCATAATTCTCCATGTGCAAAATTGGGACTTATTACAGAATACTTGTACACAGTTCACTCCCTAATATCCTACCTAATTATTGAATGTTCAAAAATTTTGTTTAAGGCGTTACATTATGCACCTTTCTACTACTCAAACTTGAACCTATTTAAGCAACAGTTAAATGTGTCTTATATATTGTGATCAGACATTACATGCAGTGCCCAAATAATACCCACTTGTTTTTAAGGTTAAATCTCATAACAAATCTAAGTACCTATATACAAAGTGGTCTATGGAAGAAGAATGTATTACTTTTGAATGCTAAAGAACATTTATACCTTGAAATGCTTAGTCTTTGGAGATCTCTGCTCTGCAGATTGTCTTCCTGAGATGGAGCCTGTCATTTGTTATAAAAAAAAGTTTAAAAGTTGTTACATTCTATATATTCTCAATACTTTGCATTACCAAAGGCATGTTTCAGATGGACAGAATACATCTGTAACTATATAGCATACACTAGATTTGATATTCAATTTTAATGAAATACCTCCAAACCTATGCAAGAGATTTCAAAACCAATTTCAATTATTTAAAGTCATTAATGCTTTAAAAAAATTGCTCTCATGTAAAAGAACTTGGAATCCTACAAAATGTATTTCTGAATATATTAATCTGAAATCTGTATTCTAAAAAGGGTAACAAATAACAAATTAATGTTTATTGAAGGTACATCTGAATGAATTCCATGAGAAAATGGGCTTTATAGGTATTTCACTTTTTGTTATTTTTAAAAAGTACCAAAATTTAACAGGTTACTTTTTAAAAAGATCAGCATAAACTTCCTTGTTCCACATAGATAAGTATATAAAATCTTTATATACTTTAAGTTTTAGTGGTGTAGGTTATCGATAAGACAGAAAAAACCTATAAAAGATATTAAAAAGTAGACTTAAAATGCTTAAGACAACTCTAACACACTTGTTTGCAATGCATTCTCATTTAAGGATGTATAACAAAAATCACTATCACAGGTTCTAAATCAGCTGGCAGAAGTGGCCAGTATAAACTGAAAGAACAAAATTTTATTTTAGTATTTTTTATTTACATAATTAAATATGTTTTAAAGTAAAACATTAAAAAGCTATATAAGGACTTTGTGAATACTATGAACTTGGGAGAGTAAAATATTAAAATGTTTTCTACTATAGGAGTTAAAGTATTGCTTGGATCTCTGATTATTCAGAAAATACCAACTGAAAATACTTTAACAGTTAAGTTGTATCTTGGGGAGTGCGGGGAAACAGAACTGGCCAGAGAGTCAGACAAGGTCTAAAGCGCATGACCTTGGACATTTTTCTTTCCTGTTCTCCATAGGAGGTAAAGGAATCAGATCAGGTCACTTTTAGTTTCTTTGCATCACTGATTAAAACTATACATTTAAATTAGCATATACTTAAACACATATGCAGAACTGAAACTCCCCCCCCCCC